CACCCACCCACCCACAGAGAGAGAGAGCGAGAGAGAGAGAGAGAGAGAGAGCGAGAGAGAGAGAGAGAGAGACACTCCGAAGCATCTGAACATAATTGTTCTCGCGTTCCCCAACGCCAACGCCTTCCAAGGAAATTATTTAGTGCAGTGCATAATTTTTTATAAAAAAGGGCGCACTGGGAGAACCCAGTTCTTGGGAGTCCGCATGTGTCAATACCTCGGGTGGTGCAATCATCATCAGAGTAAATGAAGTGCATATTCTCGTCAGACTGTTTTACCAGTGCACAGTGGTATATTAACACATTGTTGCGTCAAAATCCGGCCAAACAGATATATGGCGCTCTTCGAAGATAACTAGCTCATGAAAGCGAGCCGGACTACAGGTGACGAGTGCATGTGGCGATATCTGCATCAGCCAGCATCTTATGCTAAAAGCAACTTGACATAGTGAGGCAACTGTGTAGGGCCTCCTGTCAGCCAGCAGCTGCCTCCAATGAGGAACAGTCCAGCGTCCGCGGCGTTAATGTTGGATGGAACGGAAGCCCACTGCCCCATCTGCAATCCCCTATCTTGGATCCAATGAGCACGGAAGGAAATAAAACAAGGCACAAAAAAAGCGCATGGGTGCAACTGGATAAAGCATCTTTAGGGCAGTTCCAGGCAGCAAAACAAAAGAGCTGTTTGCAACACAAGCATACCCCTCGCACTAGAGAATCCGTTGGAAGTGATCCTGCCCTGAGGCATTACCTCTCATCTTCAGTGCCAAGCTCGGCTTGCAAATTGCTGATTTGTCCATCGTAACGCACAAACAAACCAGAACCTAGCACTTACAAGGGTTAATGCACCTCATATTCTTGGGGAAAAGTCTGATCCAAACCATAGCCTTGCAATGCACCATAGTGTGGCCCCTGATCGCACATTTCGCAGACGCGGGCACACTATACCACCCTCCAATAAGCAGAAGGCTGCGACAGCTGGCACGTCGACCTACCGGCTATTTTATCGTAGATGAGTCGCGTTAATTGGGATTTGGCATCGAAATGCGTGTGTTAAGCTTCGCTAAAACTAGATTTTGATGTGGGATCGAAACCGAATAAGTACTGGGAAGAAAGGAGATTAAAATGATTGGAAAGTGTCAAAAGTGTGAAGAATAGCAGAAAGGAGGCGATAGAAACTTCTGTGTCTTCAGGGTGGCTGTAAGGTCCAGTGGTTATTGCCTCCGTACTTCTCCGTGATAAGGATCAGGAGGCTTCGAAACTACTGTGTTCTCAAGTTGGATCCCTCAAGGTCGGTTTGCATCAGCCAGCGTAGTATGGTTCTTCACTTCATAGAAGGTAGGTCCCTCCCAAGCATTCTACTATTTCGGTAGGTTGTTCAGTGTCGGCTTTGGTGTGTTTTCTGCCTTCAACTGCCATCGCATCCACCATCCTTGCGCGACGCTGTTTGCAACAGTTTCAACTGACCCTTCTTGGAACATGGATCAAGGAGTCACGGAGGCTAACTGTGAGAGAAGGCCGTTCGCTAACCAATTGAATGCAAACTACAGCCTGGAAACGAGCAAAAACATGGCTCCTTGCCTCATATTTAGCAGGGTTGAAGAGCATACAAGTACAGAGTGCCACCCCCTAACAAGTATACACCTGGCACAGCTGGTGCATCAAACTACCAGCTGCTCTATAGGCGATTCTACGGGCACCGCAACTTGTGCTAGTCACCTAGGAGACTGGTGGTTCCTCTTGAATCCCACAGAGATCGAATCTTGCGCTCACGTCCACCAAGCGATACCTTCTAATGCACACATGCAAGAGCGATTCGCCGAAACAGCCGTTGCCTCAACTGCTACTGCATGGCTGGATAGCTGTAAGCAGACTGAGCATGTACTTGCCATCATACGCACGCCTTCGGCAGACCCTATGCAATACCCACGACGCAACAAGCATGATTCTCAATGAAGTATCCACGCAATTCCATTCTGTGCATATCGCTCACGTTTAAAAACTACCGGAAGTGCTCCGTGCAGCACTTCCGTTGCGTGCAGCTGGTACAGACGACCTTCTGTGGAACATCTGTTCAGCATCGCCCCACGATGAGATCTTTGCTGCGCAGCCACCACTCCAAGCACACTCAGTCTCAGTATTGAACGTTGGACACTGAAACACTACGGCAAATTTCGCATCGTTGACCCTACTGTTGTGGAGTGAGGAACGAACCCAGCACAAAGAAAGTCGTCCGGCCGTGTATGTCTACAGTATCGAAGCAGCAAACAGGCAAAGGCAGTGCACCTGCTCCTACAAAATCTGCTCATTCTGACCCCTGAAAGCACAGAGATGCCCCTGCAAGGTGACACATACTTTACCAACTGCTTTTGGAGGTGCTAGACTGCAGAAGCTGCCGTTCTTCATATTTCTGCGTTTGGGCTCCTTCTGGAACGTCTCGTACAAAGATAATGCCTATTCACGGACCAATGCAGACAACCCAGCTGTCTACAGCGTCTCAGCGGTCATCCGTTCCCCAGGCGAATACGGGATAGCGCAACTCCAATTGACTGCTTTCCTCACATGACAGATTCATGGACTACGAACGTGCACTGCTTTAGCCTGCCTTGGCAGCTGCGCCGTGGCAGCAGGCTGCCAAACCAATCCACATCCCGGATGGTATTTTACATTCTTCACGCTTAAAATAAAAAATTGTGTGCGAATTTGGGCGTCTTAACGAAATGCACACTAGCCTTGCCCGCCAATACACAAGATGCTTCCACCTGCCCGAGACACCGGACATTCGACATATTTGTACTAAAACGCACCTACACGCATGACATATCGTTCGGCAAAAATCAAATCAGGAAAAAATGGGAAGGCAGACTAATTCACACCAACCGTGAAACCTGAATCGGAGTCAGTTACTGAACCCTGAATCCCCAATCCATCCTAGGAACATCTTAGCAGCCCCATGCACCACTGCGGCCGCCAAGAGCACCACCATGTACACTAGAAAGTGTCCATGAAGGCCAACTCCTGCTCTCAAGAATGTGATTTGGAAGCACGTATTCGGTTGGCACGTTGTACACAGGCATCACTCGCCCACGTAGCATACCATATTCACGAAGAAATGTCTTTTCAATTCGCACCCTCGGCACCTCCACTAGTCCTGAAAGGACCTGAAAGACCTCTGCCCTCCGCGGTAAATGCCACTGCCGGAATTGTCGTGGACAAGCGAAGTCAGTGATGAGTGGGTCAGACAAATTTCTCACGCCGCTACGCTGCAAACCTCAATTCGGACCCTTACGTTGCAAGGGTCGTCTGCTCCTTCTGATAGCACTCGCCCTGCATATATGTGGTTCTCTGGAACTTCATTGGATGCGATAGCCTTGAAGCAATGGATGAGTAAGAATGCCAGGGCGGCAGTTCCGATCAACACAGATGCCAAAGCAAGGGGCATTCCAGTGCGTCTCCTTACGTCTTCACGTAAGGTGAAGTTCTGCCTGGGCAAAGCAATCTCATTTTGCGGGTGAACTGTTTCAAAGCCAAAAGGCGAACCGTCGATGTCCTGCAGACCGTTGGCCGCCGCCACAACCAGAGCCCGGCAAGAAATGAACAATGAACAGAAACGAAGCATTTTCAATGAAAGTCAATCATCTACCTGATTTTGCCCCGACCGCTCAAGGTGAATTTTTCAATTCCAAGTGTTGTGAGGCCCTGTCTGGCTCAACGTTGGGCTGGTGCGGTTGGTTGCGGGGGCTGCATGTGTAGCCAGAGCGTCTTGCTTCGGATCACAGAGTAAATCATCTACATATGTCTGCAACAAGGATTTAAAAAGACAGCAATATGGAATAATAATATGATGTAGTAACTGGAGTCTAGATGATGCCCTAGAGGTAGGGATTCCACCGCATTCAATCGAAACACGCGGGTTCGTCACCGACACCGACTCGACGAGCTCAGCGCAGAAGAAAATTGGCAGTTCAGATCTTCAATGTGTGGACAACAGGAAATAAAGGTAGTTCGAAATGTGGTCGTAAGGGTAGGAAATGGCTCGTTGGCAATGTTAGGGACCCTCGTGAGCTGCAATATGACCTAATGGATGAAGAATAATTCATAGAGGTACGAAGGAGCCGAAGAACTTGTCTTTTTTCTTCCGGCGTCCTGGGAACAGCGGCCAAGGGCATGGGATTGCAGCGGAGAGAAGCTGGGGCAAGCGTCTTCGGGTTTTTTCGAGGGGCGTCAATTGCTACAATCGACCAAAAAGACTTCATATGTGAGCTTCTAAAACGCAGCTGATCTTCCGTACAGTCTCCTGGTGTCCTGCGAACAGCGGCCCAAGGGCCTACGGCCAGGGGAGACGAAACAGTCAGGCATGAGTTACAACGCAACTCCCCCAGATTGTTGCCTGCACCAATACTGTGTATAATTGCGGAGCACTTACTTGTCCTCAGTAATCAGCCCGCACCCAAGGACAAATGTATGTCCTAAACTCATACAGACAATGCTTGTGCTGCTTATGCGAGGCTCAGCTACTTCACTTTCTGGTATTTTCCCTTCCTGCTAACGGCTCAGCTGCGGCTCCTGGTTCTGCTGGTGTTGCTACTCGTATTGATCCTCCTGGTGTTACTGGTGGTGGCCCTGCCAGTGTTATTATTGTTGCTGCTGCTCTTTCCAGTCTTATTCAGCAAAACCTTTACCAGGGTGCAGCTGGTTCAAGCACTGTTGTCGTTCTTCTCCGAGTATTCCGCGGTGTTCGTGTTGTGATCGATATTAACTCGCTTCATAAATTTGCACCAAAAGGCGCCAAGGAGCTTCGCTTTTCTTCCAGTAGAAAGAGAAAAGCGAAGCTCCTTGGCGCCTTTTGGTGCGAATCTATGCTTCTCGGGAAAATGTGGTGCTTTCAGACGTCGATAATGAATAATTACGCCGCGCCCCTTGTATTGTAACTGGACCTACACGGACGCTGAAGTGGGCATTTTCCCTGAGTCTTTCCGAGAAAACAAAAATGCCATTACAGCCTCTGACTGGTCGTAAAACCAATATGAAATCCATTGGCATATATGCCCATCCCGTTAAAAATTCGCCATACTATTCAAGAGTTGTATTTGAGAATGAAAAGCAGCTTTAGCTGCTGGTATGCAGAACAGGTTCGAGCACACTCCTCCCTTGAGGGAGCATCCTTAGAATCCAGACTGACCTTACCCCTCAATCCGCCATTGTTTTTACCTCACCATGGGCTGGTAAAGCGCGATTGTGTATTGTGGACAAAACGTCTTTTCGTAGCGAAACTAGAACGGGTAATCTGCGGAGTCCATGCTCGCTCTGGAACCGCAGGAGACCGCTGTCTATTCTGTAGTGCTTAACTTGTCTACAGCTGTTGACCCTAGCACGACCCGCTCCCACGTGAGTGCAGGAGGTGTAAGAAGAACACATTTTCGAAAGGGGACAAGAATCATGGCATTCATCAGCAGTTGCAAAGCACAGTCTGGGACTGGTGAGGCGCGACGAGGGTGCGCCGGTAGCCACGCTGGGTGAGACCAAGTACTTGGGTGTCAAGCCTTACCGCGCGAGCCAGCAAAGATAACGAACGACTTTTTCATTACTGTAGTCTTCACAACACTTTATCAGGCGTGTCAAGGATGGACGATCGGCTTGAACAATGTACTGCCACATACAGCTGTTTGCCCCGTACCAGACACTTCTGCTTCCTTTTCATCAAACGGTGTGAGTAGTAGACGAGTATTGGGGATTTTCCGTATGGTTGGCATGCCGAGGGACCATCAACCCAACTACTGTGATACTGGCATATGTTGGTAGGAAAACGAGTTGGTCGAAATTATTGAGCGCTAGTACTGGCGACAATGTCAGGTGATTGATGACGCTTTTGGTGACTGTGTCTTCGCTCTCCATCCCACCCATTTGTTTGTGCTTAGTCGGTAGGTCCTGCAGAGTTGGGGCAATGCGAGCGAATCCAGGGATGAAGTTGCGGTTCTACGATGGCCACGCCGCACACAGCGTGGAATGCAATGAGGAGCGCTACTGCGTAGCATGCAAATCTCGTCGGAGAAAAAGTTCAGAAACCAATAAAAAGTATAAATGCGATGAACTAAAGCAATTGATGGGAAAGAATGCAGCTGTCAGCCATGCTGGCGGACGTCAAGACCACTGCGCATTCGGCTGTGGAGAAGCGCAAACAGGTTTTTGCGCTTCGGAATTGAACTACTCAGTGGTGTGCCAATTAAGAGACGGTACTGTAGAATATTAGCTTTTACGATCTTTTCCTCTTCTGTGGCACCTAGACTAGCTGGTCTAGGGATCTACGAAGGTGGCTCGGCCAGCTAGGTGCACTACAGGTGCGAGGCATTGGGCGCGTACTTGGCAGCCGAATTGCTGATAGTTCTTTGTTGTTAAACAGATCTGCCTCTTACTCCAATGCCACCCACTTCTGCTTTTCTCCGGGTGCTAACTAAATTGAATCCCCTACAACTGCTGTCTTCGTAAGAACATCACGACGGAGTACCTCTACTTCTTCACCGCTTCCTGCAGCTCCTGCACTGCGTAGAAGCCTCCTCGTTCCTTTCTGTGTGGGGCATTCCTTCCATGCTTCTCACCAAAAAAGATGCAAATTCCGTTAGAGCGTTAAGAACTGACTCTCTCAGTGCTTCCTGGCGTCAGTCTAGAGGCGCCCTCCATTGAGTCATCCACAGCATGCCTTGGTGATGGAGTGGTCCAACATAAAACCCCCCAATCATGGCAATATGACGGATGTCTGAACTGAGCGAACACCTCACGCACGTATTGTTGAATATTCTTGTGATTTCTCCCGTCGGCGAAAGGCACAAGAAATAGTCGCACAAACTGCATCAAGAACTAGAATTGTAGGTTTCTCCTCCTCAACGAGCATTCAGTATCAGATCAACGTCGCAGCCTGCTTCAAGTAGCGGTAGCAACTCCTGACCATTAACGCGAACTTTGATAAGCACATGGTTGACTCGCGCTGGATTTTCAGGTGCGGCTGTCACGTAGTCAGACACTGCATCCCACGTTGCCTGGAGATTACGGGAGTCCTCAGGTCGCATTTTCCCGTTCCCCTAAACATTCTCCTCCATTATTGTGGTTCTTCACATTCCTAGCGTTTATTATGGGCCAGCAACGACGGATCTTGTGAGCTTGTTGGCAGCAAAACAGCAAATGGTCCCTCGCTACTTCCCACAGCTATCTGCGTTCCTGCTTGGCCGGCTAACGCATGCTCGCCTTTCGAATATTGCGATCTGGTCGTGGCAAAAAACGCGCCAATATCAATAGACGCTATGTCGTTCGTGTTTCAAAATTCGCTCGCTTCCTTCTGGCCTAGGGCTAGGGCGAGGCGTAAGGAATCCAGCATCCCGTCGAACTTCGCCTTTAGCCCTTTAGATTCCTCTCTGTTACCTCGCTACTTATCGATTACCTCCCTGAAGAGGACAGCCGTGCTACTCACCACTGATTTACAACCTGCGAGTCCACACCGCTGAAATTCTGTTGGCCGAGGACTGATACTTCTCGATGGGCTGCTCTAGCAAAGGCTCCGCTTACTTAAGTTTCATCAATCCCACCAGAGTTTAGTCCCTTGACAACACAAACCTATATCTCTGTAAATGCCAGAAGGCTTCCCTAGTCTGAATGTACTCCGTAAGAGTCGTACAAATGATTCAGTATAACCACCATTGTCGTGTGTCTCATTCTAATAAAGATGATCCCAATAAAAAGTGCAGCTTTTCGACTGTATATTAGGGACGCAAATACAACTCCGAAGAACCAAGGAACCGTTGCACTGTCTCTGCATCATGACGCCCGTCATGCCGAAAGCGCTTACTAGAGAGCAGCCCAAAGTTGTTAGGAATGCTTCTAGTATTAAAGGCCGGCAAAGGCGGAGGCAATGATAAACATTGTAGGGGGAATACCAAAAACTTGTTTCTGATCAATTTGCACTCTGCAAGTGTAAAAAAGAAATTAATTTTACGCAATGGCTCTCGACATAATACCTATATACATATTGTTTTTGGGTCTTTGTTGCAGAGCGTTTTCGCTAGTAAGTAGTGTAATGCATCATAATGGTCACCTGTGTTGTTTCATACTTTGCCAGTGTCCTTCCTTTGGGGCTGACTTTAGCGCCGGCCTTACGGAGATGACGGCAAGCCCAAGCGCAAACAGCACAACGTCTTCTGCGACAGATGGCAAGCTCATGCTTTGTGCAGTGTAAAAGGAAATGATGGCTTACATATATCTGTGTATGTATTGCTGTAACGATTCTCACGTATCGATAAGTTTTGCTCGCAAGGGGCCGTAGTAGGTTGCCCTGTTGCGTTTTGGGGGGCTGGGATACCATTGGGGAGTAACCACGTCCCTGCTACAGGCAGCAATGGTATTTCACGTTATTGGTGCACTTATTGATGCATAATGGCTTATCTATGAATGATTCAGCTTGCTTGCCATGAAGCGTCTCTCTTCCAGCACTCACATGCCGCGACGGCAGCCTCGTTTTACCAGTCAGTGTGGGGTGAACTGTTGAAGGTTGTTCAGCAACAGCAGCAGCAATAGTAATGTTAAACAAATCAAACCCCTAAACTGTTTATAAAAGTTTTCCCCCCTATTCTTCATTGCTTCCTGCAGTGCATCAGCTGTCTTCAAGAAGACCCTTCTCTATCGGCCTCAAGAGCCCCAGCTACAAAGCCTAAGGTGGCAGTAGGGCAAGGGGAGGGAATTGTGCTATTTACACACAATTTACCCTATTCATACATGGCAACTCTTGACGGATCAGGCAGCTTGTGCAGCTGCGGCTCGTTAGAGTAAAGGAACAAAATACAAGTAGCGTTAATTTCGTACAGTCAGAGTTACGCCCGAATTATTCCCTCACAAATGTAGGTTCGCCAGAGACTAACTGTAATCCTAAAGGCGGAAGTTAGACGAATCTAGTAGGAGTATCGAAGAGCTCTGTGCAATGCTTTCTCAAGCAGTTGAGATGGCCTGGCCCATCAGCTGAATGTATTGATCTATTCTTATGCTTAATGTAGCTCTGGTGGTTTTCGGCAAACTGGTTTTCATTGGGGAATCTAGCAGACGGATTGGAACAACACGGGCACGATTGTTTCAAGCACTTCTGAGGGCTGATGGCAGAGATGTCCGGGTCTATGGTGTCCTTAACAATTGTGGAAGGGTTTTCGAGGTGTTACACCAGACGCCGCAACACCACAAATTAGTCAGTGCATCATCATGCTCAGTCCACATGCCTAACCCCAAAAGCCCGAAGGAGTGTTTCTCGCCGTAATAGAACATCCTAGCATGCCCGAGGCAAACCCAAATCAAACGAAATTCGTACATCATACAGACCCGCTGCTCAGAGGAGGTAGGTTCGTGTCTAACTATGCGGACAGTCGCTACTCCCGGGGCAAACACTGGGATGCCCTTCCTGCTATAACCCAATCCATCAGGATCATCATACCAGCCAAAACAAGCGGTCTAAAGCAGCTGTCAATTGTAATTACTCTTCAACTGGACCTTTGATGAAACGCGCAGGGAAATGTGAAAGATCGAAAAGCACTGTTTTCATTGCGGCCTGCCACGTTTGGTCATTCTTGGGCAGGAAAGCCCGGACTCAGGGTAGCTTTTGTGCCTACACCAACGCCGGCACCGAAAAGCGCGGGTTCTTTGGGTTCTCATCTTACTTACCATCAATATGTGCCCACACGAGCTTCCATGCATTCGCATGGGCCACGGCTTCAAGTAACCTTGGACAGGCCACTGTTGATCAAGGCCGTCAGTAACGCCATCCTAGTTATACAAGAACTCAGTTCCCCTGAAGAATTTTGCTGTACTTGGCATTGAATGCTTGAAATTTCCTGTTGATCACGCTCCAGATGAAAGCATACAGGCGCTCACGAAGTGCGAAATCTCTGCGTCGTACCGCCGAAATCAGCGCCACGTGTATTTGGCGTTTTCGTACATACGGGTGTTTCGGTTGACAGTATTGTGGCTCGCTTATCATGTCTTTCGCCATAACTTCCTTGTCCGGGCAATCAACTCTGCATCGATTGCTTGCCTCCGCAAAGCCCTGCACAATGCGTTCCTGCGCTCAGCGGCCTCTTTGCACTCATTGACTAATCCGTTGGTAGATAGCTGCGGTTTCTGAGGAGTAAGCGTCATTGCATGGAAGGAGCACATATATTGCCTGACTCTAGGGCAAGGTGGTTTTTAGAGCTGTTGAAGTTGCTGCCCCGGAAGGCATTTCAGTTTGTTCTATGTTAGCTTTCGTTGTTATGCCTGACCTGTGAAAACAAAAATAATTCAAGGCCTACAGTCGTGACAAAAATAAACGAATAAAATGCATTGACTACTCTGCATGATTTCAGGTTTTCCAGAAGCTCAAAAAGCGGAAGTTTATACACGCTCGGAGGTTCTGGTACGAGCATGGGGCCCAACATGCTCCACCAAACGTATTTCTTTCTTGAGGGCGAAATGCTGTAAGATGGTGCACTTTGTCGCATCACCAAACTGACGATGAATCGTCGAATAATACACTGTCCTTAAGTTTAGGGTTTCTGGATTGATTTTTGTCTTGCTGCTGTGCTCGAAAACTGCTACTGCCACCTAATTCCAAGCAGACACAATCCGGCATGATCTGGTGACATACTTACTACTGGTTTGGCAAATACAAAACTCACGCGTTCCAAAAGGTGCATGCCTTGCTCATAAGCATGCGAAGCGAAAAACCGTGCCAATTCAGAGAATTCTAAAGCCTCTTGACCGCATGGAAATGTTCCGGTCACTGTAGGCTGTGCGCTACTCTTGCACTAACCCTTAAAGCGGATGAGTTACATCGACAAGCATAAGAATGCGCAAGATACAGGAGGCAAAGGCAAGCACTATGCAAGAAAACTGAATAGCTCGAAATGCTACGTGATGAATGGGCGAAGAGAAATGTTGGGATTGCGTGTGGCGCCCCAAGGATCTCAGTTCTCGCAGTTGTTCCTTAATAGCATGCAGAAGAGCTGGCCGCTATAGCTATTTATCTAGTTTAATATATCTTTGGCATCATGTGGCCCATATAACTGCATAGCATGCAGGCTCCTACCATTTGTGGTTGCGTCTGTAGGTGCGCTTCCTACATTTCGCAGAGCCCTCTACTCACTGCGCTTAAAGACTTTTGAGGATTGAAGAAATTTAGATTTGTAGATTTTCCAAAACAAATGCACGAGTTCAATGCACAAAAACAGCTCTCCTGTGCTGTGTATTAGCCATATCATTCGCATACATAATTAATAGAGAATGTACTTGTAGTGGCCACAGCGCAGCATTGGCATGATACACACGCGCGCGTCCATTCTGAATCCTTTGGCTGGTACAAAAACCTGGGGAACTGCTGCAGATGCACGCGGATAATAGGCCTGCACATCGAATCCCAGCGGAGTATCCGTTTGAGATGCATGCCTACTCACAGCCACACTGAAAGGCAACGACACTTCATAACGACATTTAGCCGGCCTGGTGATTCCGCACTTTCTGGTGTCTCCCAAACAAGGCAAATCCGATCAACCCACCCTAAATAGAACGGTGCAGCAATCCATCCGCGACACAATTGTCCGTTGGTTCATCAAAAAACACCTTGTAATATATAATTTCCAAGTGGAGGTTCAGTGAATTTGATTGGCACGCACGCGCTGCCATGCATCGAGCGGCTTTGGTTTTTCACAGCCAATTAACTTTAAGACGCCCGCGCAGAATAGTGCAGATCCTCGTAGTTTATATGGGTGTCGTAAGCCAATGCTGCTTTCTAGCTCCAAGGTCTCACTGGGCGTGCCAAGATTGCCTCTCTGGGCTCCGCGGGTATACCGCTGCCAATCTAGGCACTCGCTCGCTGTCCACTCCTGCAAAGCGGGCATCGCAGGCACGAAAACCTGCACGGAATATGCAAGCAAAAAACACCTAAACAGGACCAGGCAGAAGCACCAAATAGCAGGGAATGACGGCAGAAAGAGGACCTGAACGCGCTAAGTAGTTCGAGAAGGTATTGGCGTCAGACTGGCCAAATCTTAGTGCTTGCACGGTCACGTATAGGTAGGCAGTTTCCATAGAGTTGCTACATCTGTTGTATCTTAACCTTCCCCCAGGCCATAGGGCATATCTAATGTCCTATGGTGTCAAGGAATGCGAAGCTGGACATGCGGTTTCGGGGGCGTTCCCACATGACTAGTATTGCTTTGTTTGGAGTAATTTCGTTAAGATGAACTCCGCATAACCCTATAGAGATTGAGAAGGCCTGAGCCTTATGGGGATGGCGGCTAGAAAAAGTTAGCAAGAGACTTATCCACACAATTCACGCACAAGGGCATGATTCCTGTTCATCAATCTGCGCGAAGGCGACGCAAAATTCTAAATTCAAATACGCAGTGCAGACGCGAGCCAAAGCAGACGCTTCTGTCATAACAGGTGCAATGTACGCAGACCTGCACTGGGGCGAGGCTTCTCAAGGCAACTGCGGGGGTAGGCGTCAAGTGCAAATGACAGTTGCCAACAACCATGGATATTCCACGGCCAATCTGGAACAAGAGTAAACATTCGCCTTTGAAGGCTTTCTTCGCCAAATTGTGTATTTCACGGTAAGCCGCTGACCGCAGCATATGCGACAAGGCACTAGTTTACCTGCTCTGGGGCTATTAGCTTGCCAAGAGTAGCAGCGATGTATGACAAATATTGTAACGCAAGAACAAAAACCGACTAAATATGTTTCGTATCAGGGTGCGTTTTGCATCCATAGTCAGTCCATTGTGCTCGACGTTTAGGAGACTCAACTTTTCTGAATAGTGCACGTCTCCCGGTACTGAGGGCAAGGCAGCTGTGTGTAGGCTGCGCACAAGGCTAGTTTGCAGGCCCCGGAGGAGGCGCAACATACTTGCTGAGGCAGTCAGATGAAAGTTTGAATTTTTGCGTATGTGCCTGGGCGTTCACCTCTGATGCGATGCTCAAGCAAACACTACACTCGAACGCGCTTACACAGACTGACAAAGAGAGAGCCAACTGCAAACCAGCAAAGGCCTCTACTCGCAGAGATGGTGAAGCAACCGACAGCTCGCCTGGAAACTGTTTCAAACCCAAGAAGACCAATGCCACCGCATTCTGACAGAATCACAGCATTGGCAACTGCCACCGGAAATATTACAAACCAAATGAAGGGGAGTAAAATGTGGCTGCCCTGGGTTTGCACAAAGCAATGAATGCAGCGAAATTGAAGCATTCGCTGCGTTGGGTCCATTTCCCGCCCTACTATCATGCTTAAGCAAGCAACCAATAGCTCACCAGGTTAGTTATGCATAAAGAAGAACAAGCATTAGAATTGAGATATTAGAGCAAAAGAAGGGTCTAAATACATGGAAACTATGCCGCGACGCCAGTGCATCCTCACCACAAGGATTGGCTGCAGCTGTTCTTCCTCAGAACATGTGCAGTAAGCAACTTTTGCACAGGTAAAGAAGGCTCATCCGGAGAAAGTTGCTCAAGTGTCTGTGGCAAACTATTTCCCGGCCACTGAGAGCTGTGCAGCATCGCATATATTACGTTTGCGTGCATTGAGAAAACTCAGTGGAAAAAAACAAAAAAACACATGCACTCTTCACGTCTTTCAGCCATGTTCAGAAAGGTTTTTTTAACCAATCCGTAGGCACTCGCGTACTGTCTGAGTTGAATGCACCAAGCAATGCTCAGGAATATAACTTCCTTTTCATGCCGGCGGCAGGTCTACATATGGTGCTGTATCCAAGCAGCAGGCAAAGAAACAAAGCATGCACCCGGCATTGCCGACCTAATAGAAGGTTTGCAAATCAAGATGCGTGCTTAGAGCTCACCCACAAAAATTGTATTTCGCCCCATTAACAGTTATAATGAACGCAAGCAACCCATATACGCCGGATCGTAACTGCAGCGGGCCCAGCACTCGGTTAGTGTTGATGCCCTAGGAACGGCAACACTCTACACATGTTTTTAGAAATCGTCGCAAACGTCCCTCCTAGTCTGCGAGAATTGTACTTTCGTAAACTTTTAGCCATGAGGCGGACTGATTTTACGCAATAAACATACCTCCTACCAGATAAGAGTTACGAGGCATGCTGTTGAACATGCTGGAAGCATGCCAGCACCGAGGCTCTGCCCCCGACACATAAGCAGGCCCCGGGTTTTTCGTGCTAGAATCGGGGAAGCCTTCAAGGAGACAGTGTCCACCACAACTGTATGAACGAAGTGTTTCCACACCAATTTCAACGCACCCAGGTTTATATGCATCACGTGACCAGTGTGGCATCTGAACAATTGCATGCCTAGATAAGGCCAACGAGTTGATGTCGTGGATATTTTCGCCGCTCATTCGGTCGGCTTTCCCGCTCGCGTCTTCGACTCGTAGCAAACGCAATCAACATTACGAACAACTATTGTTATGCATTGTTATCTTTGGGTCCTTTACTAACTAGCTAAGATTGGGCATTTGAGCGTTCAAAGCTTTCACTGATTTAGCATAGCTGCCCAAAGGAAAAGGGAATCACTTCACCCAAAATATCCAAAACAGCGCAATGTATACATATTTCTCGGAACTAGCTTTCTTCTTCTGCCGAAACGTCTGGCGCACTTTCTGAAAATAACGCGCATGCAAATAAAAGGTTCCCCTCTCCGCAAGTGAAAGATCCCCTCGTTCGCTGTTGCGCGTTGTGATCAACACTGCTGCTCTAAAGAATTCGAGGTGAATGCAAAGGTTAAAGATGATAACGCCGTTACAGCATTTACTTGTGCCTCGTTAGTTTTTGTGAGTCGCGTGCTGGGATTGCGAATCACGCCACACTCAGGAAATACTGTACACGCGGCTGCTTGCTAGAACCTGCAGCATGACTCTTAATCATACTTTGTGCCCAGTAGAGCCACACGAACTTTCTGAACGTCGTTTATAAAGGGTTGTGCATTTGCAGCAGCCTTCAAACCCGCCTCAGAGCCCTCGCAATTATCTCCTTTCATAGTAGAGCTTATCCGGTTGGTTCCCTGGGACGAGCAAATCATATTCGTCACGTCTCATTGTATCTCTGTAGCTATAACGAAGAGCTGTCGTGAGAAGATATGACGAGGTGCAACACTATGCTGAGACGGTCCTAGGACAGATCATCATCTGCACTGTCTAGCAGCTGGTGGCGCCCAGTCCCCACGCACTATTTGGAGCGTTTCTGCGTACAAACTGCAAAGATCCGGGCACCAGCTACCGACATATGTGCTGACTTCAGGCTCACAATTGCTTGCTTTGGCTGATCGGCGTTTCAGAAGGGCCAAAAACAGTCTCAAGAGCCCTGCGTGTCAAAATATTCCCCAATGAGAAAGGCTAAACTCTTCCTTTTCCAGAACCGCAATGTGTGAGGTAAGCAGATTGTTTCTATCTCGGCACCCTCTAAAGCTGCAGGATTCCGCGTCTCCTTGCTTCATCCTAGGACAAACATTTGAGCTAGTGCAGAGCTGTTCTGAAGATATAAGACAAACCCATCAGCGCAGCGGCTGTTCGATAAAGCAGGGGGGTTGTTTACAGCGAAAACTATTGCATTTCTACATACAAACTGCGCAGCGTGCGAATCCCCTTGAACTCAGAAGTAGCATCATTAAAGACATTTGCGGTTTACAAGAGCAAATGCAGAATTGTGTAAGCTGACGTACAACTGGTGCGTTTTCGACGTAGCACCTCATCATTACAAGCTCTTGCCCTGAAATGTGCGTCTTCGCTGGCTTATAGCCTCTCAAAATGCGGCCCTCAGTGGACAAAAACCATGTGGACCTTGCTGGCCTTCTGTGTCGAATGATTGACGCAGCTTCACAATTGGGTAACGCATAAGCAAGAAGCAATGCACTGAGCTTGTAGGCTGCAATGTGGATCTTTCAAAGCACATGCAGCTCCTCTAGACTTGTCAGTGGAGAAGCTCTAATAAGCCCCTTCAAAAAACCGAATCCGTTGTTCACAACAAATGCGCAGGTCAAAGTGCAACAAAAAGCGAATGGTCTCACATGCCAGAGCATTCGACTCCGCGCACCCTACGTCTACACCTGCGCCGGTGCGCTCAGGAACACTATGAGTAAGCATACTTTCCTGCGCGTCATAAATGCAAGACTACGACCATGCTGTTTCCAGCCGTCCAGGATATTTGCTCAAGGCATTGATGGACATTCCGGAACCGCCCTCCAATGTGTCTTGACTGACTTTCTTTAGCACGGAAAGTAGTGCAAAGGGGTCACAGGAAGCGTTCGCTTTGAATCTGCATGCCCACTTAGCTGCCGTGAGGTTCATTCACACCACAAACCTCTGCCTTGCTACAACGCAATGCAACGGGCAGTAGGCAGCCATACACAGGGCCCACCTCGCCCAAGTGCTTAATCGAAATCGCCTTTATCGGTGTCCCTTCATATACTCACTTGCTGGCGAATCCCCATTCGCGGTTTGTTTCGGAGAGACTCCGCTGAGCATTAGAAGTACAACACTACGCTGTTCAAACCGTGCCATCACTCTGCCACGTCAAATGCTTATCTGCAGGAGGTATGGCAAATGCCTGAGCTGGAGCCCCACAAAGGCTTCGAAATCCGTTCCACAGGATGAACGCCCTCCTCATAGCCAGCAATTAAATTCACCGAAAGAAATGCGCTTCTAAACGGACTGCCTGATATTGTTGTTCAGGAGCTTGAAGGTGTCGTATACACTCTCATCCTGCTGTTCAACTACGCTTAACATATTAGGAGTCTTGTTCAAATTCATCAAAACCATCCGACCGGCGCTTGGCCTAGATATGGCTTTATTCATAGCACCTTATCACTCATTTTTGGCGAAGAAGTGCCCGCTTCCTTGCTCGGCCTTCAACGCTGCTACTTGCCGGTTGCGGGCATGCAGAATAAAATGCCAGAGAAGGGCTGTGCTGAGACGCTGGCCTGCAACACATTGATATGCAAAAATGCCTTGATGACATCCACTTGGACAGAAAGATAGACCGAGCTGTCCGTCCAAGTGATAGATGCAAGTTATTGGTGAGCTGTAGGTTGCCCACGCACTCTCTTTGTAAGCAGCGAGCATCTCACTACTCACCCAAACGCTGATAAAGCATCATACAGTGCATTGCTT